CAGCGTGTGACCATACAGCAAATTCTAACAGCAAATCATACTCAAGATAAAACAGATGAGCTGCCAGACTCCTCTTTGTTTTGAGAACATGGCAAAAAACCTGAGTGCCTGCCACAGACCCTGTCGGCAGAGCATCGCTTGCAGGCCCTCAAGTGCAAACAGAATGAGAGATACAAAAGAAAATCCCTGACTTCAGAACTTCACTCTGATTTAGCAGAGTGCAGCAACAGTTAAATAAGAGACGTTCAAGGCCAGGTTGGATGAGGCCCTGAGCAACCTGATCTAGTTGGAGATATCCCTGTTCCTTGCAGGGGGGTTGGACTAGATGACCTTTGAAGGTCCCTTCCAGCCCTAACCATTCTATGATTCTATGATTCTAAGAGTGAACTAAAATTTCAAGAATCCTGGGGTTTTTTGCTTCTGATCGAAACTGGCCTCATGTTCTGGGAGGCAATGTGGAGAATGTTGAAAATGAAGAAATTAGCAGAAAGCACTATGACATCTATTCCCACCTATTCCTCCATTATTAATAACAGCACTTTTTTCCATCCCCCTCCTTAGCCAGCCATCTACAATATGAAAGAGAATACCTTAGGTTGTTCCACTTCTGACATGGCAGTATTCAGACAGCATGTATTTTAACAGGATTCAAAGACTGGATTCTGCAGCCATGTGGGATTTGGAGCTTCCTGTCAGCAGCAGCAGATCTCTTTGCACTCAGAGTGCAAAAAGGGACCACTTGAGCTAAAGTGGCACTGGCCCTCCAGGGCATACAGCATGCAGGGGGGCAGCTCTGTTCCCCCACAGCGGTAGCTGGTGCTACAGATATGTGTGAACTGAATAATTCAATGCAATATCACACTTCTGGCTGAGATTTTTTATTTCGTACTTTGGGTTTCCCACAGTGGATTATTTTGAATCCAACTTCACTGTGATCTGTTTACTGGTTATGATGTTTATTTTTCCTGGAGAAAAGAAAAACAAGAAATGTTTTATGAAAGCAGCAAAAGAACATAGTATGGAAAATCAAAGGAAAATCCTAAAATGAACTCTTCTTGCCCTAGGGCAGAGAATATGGCTGCTGTATCCCAGTGTTCCACTCATGTGGGGAAGTCTTGTTTTTGTGAAATGTTACACATGTGCCAAGTTGCTGCAGATATCTGTATAACCCTTTCTTTGTCTTGCTGTAGCAGCTAGTTATCAGTGTGGTCAATGCAGTGCACAGCATGGCCCCGAGCCTGCAGGCACACAGGTTGGGAGTCAGCTGCCTAATCGCAGACATCAATGCTGGGATGCCCTCAGGTTTGGTCTCTGGTCTGCTGCTGCCTCTCCAAAAAAAGCCACAGATCTCATGCAGAGCCTGTGTTATATGCCAGCTTTGTGCAGATCTCTTGGGTACATAGAACATCTGAAATAGCTGTAGACACCTATGTTTAGGCAACTGAAGACACACTTGTACTGTATCCATTCAACCAGCAGGACTGTTCAGGCAACTGCAAGACAAAGCCTTTAGATTTCAGGGAGGAAGACTTGTCACCATCTTAGCTACCTGTATTCTGCTGGCCTTGTGCGGAGAAATACTCTCAAATATAAATAGTAGTATGTAATAAACTCACAGGGAAGAGTTCCCTAATGCATTCACTTATATGGTCAGAAAGTTGTTAGCAACAAAGCCTGAAAGTCATTTGGCTGTCACCATTGGGCACTGGCAGACCTCAGAAGTCTAGCTTCTTGAGCACAGAGACCAGCAATACAGCAGGCATGCAGTGGGTGGTTATGCACACAGGGGTCAGTTAGCTGCCATCCAGACAGAAGTGGGCGGTCTGTCACCATTCTATGCCTGTAACCACTGAGTGCTTCCAGGTCAAGTGACAAAGTGCTAATTAGAACACAGCAGCACGAGGGGAAGGAAGCTTCTGCTTGCTTACTGATACACATAGCTGCGAGCCAGGCTTTGTCTCGGGCTCCACTGCTTGTTCCGTCACAGACCTGATTAAAAGACCTAGTGAGGCAGAGAGCATCTCTTTGTTTTGAATCTGGAAGGCAATATCCATAAAATGCCTGAGGCCCTTTTCAGATATCCACTTGCTATTAAGTAACCAACAAACCATTTATGTAACCCTTGGGTGCTCCATTGTCTTGTCACCTTTGCCTATAGAAGTCCCTCCCTCCTTTATGCAGAGTGGCCACCTGGAGCTTTCAGGATCCTATTCTGCTAAACAACTGTTTAACACTCAGACGTTGTGAGACTAAGTTTTCGTGGATGCCAGCTATAGTAACTCTACTCTGCTTCCATCACCTCATATAGGGACGGGTGAATTTATGATTTTTTACATAATAAAAAGTAGAAAAAACTGTCTCTGTTGGCGACCCTGGCATTGTTCAACTTCCATGTTCCCAAAGGAGCTTAATCTCAGCAAAGAAAAGAACGGCAGGAGACAACTGCAAGGCTTTTGGCCAGTAAAATAATTCCAAATCCTTGTGTGCCTAGAGCTTTTAAATCCAGGAGGACTCACAAAATGCAATTTGGCCTTTGCACTGTTTCAACAATGAGCCATAAAACTAACACACTGGACCAATTTGAGTCTCTGTTCATATGAATTTACCCATGCACCAGTAACTCTAATGTAACTCCATGAAAGTCAATCAAGTTGTGAAGCTTCCACACTGAAGTTACTAAAGAAAGGAACTTCTGTCATGCCAGACTGCAAATGAAGCTTAGGGGAACAGTCTGAATCCTGGAAGAAGAAAGTTCCCAGTTATGCAGGGTAGCTCGTATCTCAAGTGCCTGGTTTTAATCATAAACTCTACAACCCAGTTACACAGCTCATGCTTTACTACTTGGATAGTAGTTGCCAATTGGATGGAAACCTGACTTAGTATTTTCCAGGGGATGGGAAAGCTTTCTGAAGAGTATTTGCTTGAGCAGCACAACAGCTTAGCATGAGCCTTCCTAGAAATGAAGCACAGAAATCGCTGCTTCCATTAAATGCACTCACTTGCTCCAGACAATATGAGGTTCATACCAATACCTTGCTGAGCCCTCACAAGCCATGCGTCAGGGCTGCTTTAGACATAGGCAGAAAAGATAATTACGAAGAGTAGCAATTTTCCTGGAATGGCAAAATGGCCCTGCTCCCTACTGGCTTTGGCTCTACTGCTTGCCTCATCAGCTTGTGCCAGCCCCCACACCCACCACCCATCTTCTGGGAGGTGGAGGCAAAGTACTTTACTGTGTTGGTGGGCTCCGGTTGCTGTAGGATATGGCATGTGCCAGCATGTGCTGCAGCATAGTGCTCTTTACTTCGCTGCATTGATGTGGCAAGATACAGTTTTGTCTGCATCACTGAGAAGCTTTGAGCTAGCTCAGCCTGGCACTTTTTATGAAGTCTCTTTGGCACAGCTGATTGCATAAGCCGGTCTAGATACTCCTAAATGGAATTTGTTTGGAAAAAAAACACCTAACTATTTTAATTTGAATCTTAAAAGAAGACAGAAAATAAAGATAGATCACTGTCATTTGCCCTTATGATTTCATTCTTACCAGGGGATTGCTTCAGCTGCATCCAAACCACCATGAACTAAATTCAGCCCGTGCTTCAATGTGAGCTAACATGCAGTGTATTTAATTGGCATCAACTGAACCAAACTCTTGGAAACAGAGTTTGGCTTAAGGTTAGAGTGTGACAGGAAAAGATCTCCCTTTTCAACTGCAATATTGTATCTTGAGTGCTGATGGCAGAGAAAGAAATGGTGACCTGTTAGTGTAGAGGAGACAGAAAGCATCATATGTTTCTCCTTGTTGTGCAGCTGTAGCTCATGCTGCAGTATAGAGAACAGGTGGCTGATTTCTCCGTAGCAGTTTGACAATCCTATCAAAGGGGATTCCTCTGCATATCTATGCACTTAATGGAGAGACCAAGTAATTTGTTTCCCATGGATGTCCCAAGACGATCAAGATTGGGACCAATTTTCCCATTTTGAATATTAAGCACAGTCCAGTGAACAGGGCACATATTCTGCTAACACTGAACCTCTCACAAATCTTCTACGATTGGGTGACATAAAGCAGATAAATTATTCTTGCAAAGCTGAAAGTTGGTCAAATAAGCTTGGATGTTGCACTGAAATAAACAGTGCTCCTAGTCTTAGTCTCTAGATATTTCCAAGGCTGAAGAACAGAAGAGTTTCTGGTTCATTAGAGGAATGACTGTTCAGCTTGAATCTAATACTTGATAGTGCTGTGGCCAGAACTCTGAGCCAGAATAAATACATTAAATTTGGTGTTTCTTTCATTCTTGAACTATGGCCCTGGTTTGTGAAACACCTAGTTTTTCAAAGAATTATATATTGGGCCACCAAAACTGAGAGCTGTAACACTGAGGGGGAGTGAAGCCATCAGAAGTTGTCTCTGTCACAGGAGAGAAGGTAGGAGAAAAGCAGCTTTCCTCAGCTTTATCTTTTTATGGCCCACGAAAGTTAAGTCTGTCAGATTCTGCTGGCTCTCCAATCAGGCCTGAGGTGCTTGGGTGTGATGACAATAAGTACTAGTCACGATCACAATGTTATTTGTCCTGTAGATACAGCTGGGTTTTGTACTTGGATAATGAGCATCTCAACAGGGAAAGTCTGGGCGTTCTTCAGAGACGCAGCAGGAAAGAGGGTAAGGATCTCTCCTTGTCCTGTCTGGTTGTGCTGAATCACAGTCCCAGCAATCACAGGATACAGGAATTGTTCCTCAACAACCCTCTCAAGGAGTCAGGACAGAAAGAAGGGAAGAAGCAGTGCTCTGGGTTTGCGAGAGCAGCCTGCAGCTCCGCAAAAGGCCGTGCAATCCAATTGCTGTCCTGCGTGTTGTGTTGCCCTAGGAGGTGTTTCCTGACAGCAGAGTGCAGCCAGCAGCAGTGAAACTCCACATTGACCCTCAACAGAGGGTAAAAACTGTTTCAGTCCTAAGCAAAGCACTGCCGGGTTTTCTATTAAAAACACCCCAAAACGGCTGTGAGTTATGCCCAATAAGTTTAATAATTGATGAAACCATAGCAAGTGACAACTACAAAATACAAAGCAGACACGAAAAATGATGGCATAAAAGTGGGAAGGAATAGTGTCTGCGATGAAAAATGAAAGCAAAATACACTTAACAGAGGATATGGGTCCAGATATAACACACACGGTCACATACAACACTGCATTAGTAACAGCACACACAGATACTCATTATACTGGGGATTTTCACAGTTCTCCACTTTATCCCAGATGACAAGTAAATGGATGTTTTTACTCTCTTACATAAATTCTTGTGCACACAACATCATCAGCACCAAAGGTCTGGAAAAGAAATAGAAATCAATCAGAAGACATGGAACCAGCAAACATTTAGCACCATTTTTTAATGTTATTTTTACTATAGTAGCTAGCTCTACAGCAGAAATAAATTTTTCTGTCTTTTGACAGATGAGAGTAAAGAAAGGAGCCATTTTGGAGGAGGAATGCAATGTAAGTGACCCTTTTTCCAAGGCACGATGAATTTTGTCAGAATGATAAATGATGCAGAAATTCTCTTTTTTCTATAGTTTCTTGGCAGGCATTTCTAAATAAACATGAGAAAAGAAAGGTAATTTGGAATGTACTGTTGCTATATTTAGAAACAGTTTCAGCACTTTGAACTGGAAATGCTAAGGGTGGAATTCAGATAGTGTGTTCAAAAGGTATTCTTTGATATTTGCAGGTATAAATGAGAGTAGTTGAAATGAGGTCAGTGGAGCGATGCTGAAGATCAGGAAAATATACACCCATAACCTGTAAACATAATGCTGCTGCAAGATGTTGACACACGATGCTAGGATACCAAAGCCCTCTCTCCCAAGCTGGAATGTTGACAGCAATGTCACAGCCTTCTTTCAGGATACTGTGACCTTAACCAGTGAATTTGTTAACTATGATAAGGGTCTGAAATGAGGACACACAACAGAGAAAAATGTAGTGGAGATCAAACTCATTTCACATAACGTAATATCTATGAGATTTCACAAATGTTTGATCACTACACATGTGAAAATCACTGACTTACTACAAACTATGTCCCATTATCATCCCATTTGTTACACCAGATTCAGTACCTCAGAGTACCTTGATTTTCCAGCTACTTCAGCGTCGGTATTCTATGATGTTCCACCATTTTACACCATTGACTGAAACGGTTTCAGACAGGCACCTGAAAGCCTGCATTTTTTAAACTGCTGTGTAGTTCTGCACTTAAAAGGCAGTTCCAGCACAGCAATATTGTAGTACGGATTATCAGGACATTTAGGGAAGACAGGGACTGTGGCAGCCGAGAAAGCTGCCTAAACCTCAGTGTGTGTATGTAATTCCAGGTCTGGCAGGCTAATAGCTAAGCAAGCAATTAAGCATGAAGGAAATAATGGGTGCAAGAGTGAGGAAATACTGACTGCAAAAAAAATCATGTTCAGCTACGCTGACAGACAGTTTCGAGCTCACCACTAACAAGGTGGGATGTCTGGCTGGAATAACTGCCAAGGTCTCACTGGAACACATAATTAAGACCTACCCCAGTGTGTTATGAAAATTCAGCTGGACTTTATTTGTTTTAATGCTTTCTACGTCTGTTTTGGCCAACACGTCTTTGAAAGGACTTGGCCTTAACACTGACTCTGGCATGTGTTTTGTTCACTTTATTGAGGAGAAAAGTCTGTTAGTATTTTGGAGACATAGGCTTTGTTTTTATGCCTGTAATGACTTTATCATATCAATCTTTATATACATTTTTAGCTTACACATGAAAGTGTCTGAAAATGAACATTAAAAGATGCAGATAGTTCTCTATTGCCCACAGCACCACTACATAGTAGCCTTAGTTGGTTGTTATACAAAAGGACTGTCATTCTCTGAAACACACTAGTCTCACAGTCTGGAAAATCACTATAATTTAACAAAATCATATCTTTAGATTTAGATCATAAAGAGATAAAATTCATGCAAAGCCTAATTACAATTACTCTGGAGTACCCCATAGCCACTAGGCACTTCTCGAACAACCAGGCATCCTTTCCTTGAAGACCCACCTTAGGTTATGTGGCCTCTGACCTGTTTCAGGTATAAGCTGCATTTTTTAGCACTTAGATTTTATACCTTTCACCCATTCAGATGATTAGCGACCTAATTCCATACTGAAGCACATAAATAAATGGCTTTGAGTGTCATGGTTATGTACACGGTTTAAATGTGGACTCATGTAAAAAGTGTTTCCTTATCTTATTGTAACTTACTAGCATTGTTGATAAAGCTCCACTAAATGTTGCTAAACAAAGCAAAGAGGAAAGTGCTCAAACTTGCTGCATTCCTTTTCTTGTGGTTGCTCACAGAAACGTCTAATGTACAGCTGGGCCGAAGCTCAGGGGAAGATCCGAATCAAAAGGCTGTTACTCCTCTATTCTTCACACTTAAATCTTTGTATTCAGGAGTAGGATGAAGCAGTTTAGTGTCTATGGTTCTACTTCGAGATTGGGAAGAAGTGATAGCTCCTGTCAGAACAAGCAGACTAATTTAAAGAGTTCCATGACCCAAAGGAGTAGAACTTCCCAATAAAAAGAAAGAGATGGAGCAATCCTGTCTGTTTGGTGGTGAAGTTTCACCAGGACAACTGAAAAAAAGTGCAACACTACCAAACTGCAATTCAAATCTAATGAAAAGATGCAGGATTTTCAAACACCACCTTCTCATCGGCTTGCAAAGGTCCCACCTATCTTACAAAATGCTACAAGGCAAGGCTTCTATCTAAATCTAAAGTAGGATTTTAAATGTGCAATGACTGCAAATTACAGAATTGTTTTGTTCTCTTAGCTTGTCATAATCTGTAGCTAAGAGTCCAAAAGCACACTGCAAACAAAGCCCTGCACAGGGCGATAATCCAATAAATTGATCTCTCTCAGTTCACTCAAAATCTGATGACCACTGACATCATTAGAGATTAAAAGAGAATTACAGGGCAGTAATATATTACTGTATGAGTAAATCTGCTTTTTGAAGTCTTTCTTTATAAACATTGGCTGAGAAGCCTTTGTGATAAGCGGAGCACACAGTATAATTAGGAAGACCGTCACTGAAACAATCACCTCGGAAAGATCACTTCTGCCAGCGTACACAAAAATGCCCTGTTATCTGCTCAATACTGACCAGCCTGCAGAGGCAACTTACAAAAGGAGGACAGAATACATCAGCAAACAAATGGAGAAGAGAAGATGTTACTTAAATGAATCCTCAGAAAAAGCTTTGTCCGCATGCAAGCTTCCATATTTTCCAGAATAAAGATATCAATCTTCACAATAAAGGCATATTGCATATTTCCTTTCTCCTCCTGACTCCCATAATGTTTTATGAAAGAGATTGATCATTATGGGCCCATATTCACAGAAGGTGCAGCCCTCACCTTCAAATTTGGATATTAACAGCATATCACTCAATACACAACCTCACTTTCTGCAAGATATCAATCAACAGGACCATGCAAAATCAGGTCATTCATCAAGATGCCTAAATGCTGGTATTTGTGTTTGAGAACTGCTCAGAGTCATGCAGCAAATGAATGGCAGAGGTAAGAACATGAGACAATGGTATCTCCCAGTAGTAGGCTCGAAAGCCAGTACGCAGCAAACATCTAAGCTACCACTGACATTATAAGAGGCTATATACAGGATCAGATGCGTCCAAGACGCAAATGGATTTGGCTTCTTTCTCTGCTTCTGTGTTCGGGATGCAACCCAGGCCAGGCTGTACTAGTGAGCAGGGGCTGCAGATCCCTAAGCCCCCTTGTAAATCTGCTCATGTCAAATAGTAAATTAAAGCATTAGGTCCATGCAACACATACATATGCATTATTGCAGGCTTCTGAACTTTTATGAAGGCTGCTTTAACGAGGTCAGCAGCAAAACCCCCCACTGACCTCAGTACGGCTACACTCTCCTTTTGGTAACTGATTTTATTTAAGATTACTCTCCAAAAACTATAGAAAGGTTAAACACTTAGGTAGTTCGATGTTCGATAATCATCGCAAATCTCAGCATTCGGATGCAAAGTATCTTTCCAAATCTGCACTGACCCTTCTTACCTACTATGTTTAATTTTAGAAGCCAGTAATATAATTTGAAAATGTTCACTCACTCATCTAGGCGCCACAGTTCACCAGTTTTAATCAACTACAGCAGGATTTTTCTGGGGAGGAAATGCAGAATAGAAACCATGCTTGAAACCCCCCTAATGTTCTGATCTTTGACCCTTGCTATAATTGATTCTGAGAACCCCTGTGTGATACGTGAACTGTGTAAAATGTGGTCTGAGGCTGTTTTTAAAGCCCCTCTTTAGTAATAACCCACTTTAAAATGTTTGTGTGTTACAGATTAAACTAAAATCTATAGAGGCATGAGCAGCCATGAAAGCAGTAATGAAGATAAAGTTTGAATATAAATTTTTCTCATTCGAATAGCTAACATTTGGAAGCAGCAACTTTAACTTTGTAAAGAGACGACCTTTTGTTCTTCTGACTTACACAAGTGATTGATAGCTCGTTAATGTCCCTGACAAAAACACACAGCAACAGCAAAAACATTATAAAAGGAAAGAGAAGAAAAAGGGTATTAGAATAGCCTTAATCCCAGATCTTAATTTTCAGACAAATAAATATGTATTTTTGTGTTATATTCTGATCTTGATTGCTCAAGTGATAATCCAAGTGTAGTTTATGAATGTGGAGTGGTAAATACAGATATTGTGACTCTCTGTATGCATTACACTCTTAAAGTACAATCCAATATAAACTAAAGATACAGTCAAGACAAACAAATACAGACATCGATGGGGATCTATCTTTTTCACCCTCCTTCACTCCCATATTCCATTTAAGTTTTTTATCTACACTGTTCAGTACTTCTAGAACGGCCACACTCAAATCCCAGCAAGCGCATCAGATGAGACTAGAATAAACAGCACTGATGAAAGTAGCTTCAGTGTTCTAACACGTTCACGGCACCTGTTTTGTAAAGCACAGCTTGATTCTTCTTCCCTCACTCAGCTGAGAGGACTCATTTTCTAACAGGACTTTAGACCTACATCTGCCATTGTATGAGCCAAATATTATTTCTGCTACTCATAAGAGTAATCTCATTCTCCGTGCTGCAAGGAGCTAAGAACTAAAGGCAAACTTAACTGGTACATAAAGGTAAAGAAAACCTCTGCTAACTAAACAGTTTGTTCCCAACATCTGTGTACCAGAGGACATGATGTGACATGGAAGACCATCATTTTGCTCCAAGGGAATATCTTTGAAGAACGTAAGGAATTCTTCTGCCAGGATGCAAGAAAGATTGATAATTATTCAGTAATATGGTTTCTATTTTAGCTCTGTGGTAGTCATGACAATTCAACATTGATTTTTTTTTTTAATTATATGTGATAATAAATGCATTTTATTTAACATGCTGTGTCAGGGAGAAAAATATATCCTTCCACCAGGAAAATGTCATAATCAAATGGACCCCCTAAGCACTGCAGCATATTAGATCAAAATTATGTGGCAAAGCTCCAACATTTATGCAGCCAGTATTAGCAGAGTAAAACTCATTTCTTACCCCCTGCCTGTTGCCCCAAGCCTTTCTTCCCTTCATGTCTCACTCTAACACAGTTTAGATTCCTTCCTGCAACTTTTTCCAAATGGGGTATGAGTTTTCTTGACTTCTTCTGCAAATGCATGTAATAGCTAAGAAGACGACTTTCAAGACTTCTTGAAAGATTCCTTTGGATAGAGAAACTGGAGCAGAGACTGTGAGAAGTATTAGCTTTACAGAGTTCCTAAACTGCTACATCACAGGCTCTGCCCCATAAAGACAGCATCCCAGCTGCAGACATATAGAAGTTCACAAGAATGTGGTTTCCTTCTGCTTATTTAAGGCACTCTGCCAGAATGGAAACAGGGAAAGCTTACCAAAAATCATCAGAAAGAGTAAAGGAACCAAAAATATTTCACGGGTAAGTAGGGAGGTTTGAGAAGCTGAAGATGTTTGAAGTGATATGGGCAGCAAAACTGAATGAGAACAAATTTCAGGTCCTAAAGAACCCTAACAAAGCTGGGAGGATGGAAGAAAGAAAGGAGAAGATAAAGAAAGACTGCTTCTTCTCATTGTGATCTTAGTTTTGAAGAAGTAAGATGTAAATGGGGGGTTACAGACTCAGATCCAAGGAAAATTTCCAAGCATAAGATAAAATAATCCCAGTTGAATCTTTCTTCACTGGACTGACGAAAAACACAAACACAGTTGAGAGGCAGGAGATCAAAAGGGATCACAGAGTCTTCTCACTAAGAGCTCCTATTCCTACTTTGTTCCCTGTTGTAGTTGAGGAACACCCCTCAGCCAACCCCTTCAGGTAGTTTAGCTTTTAAAGCCCAAATAATGGTCTGGAGGGAATATTCTGGGGTTCTAAAATTAGGGGCCACAGACAAGAAAATGTAGTTTCCCTTACCCTCCTCTGTCTTCCTCCAAACAGCAGAACCCTCTGCTGCCTCCCAGAAAGGTTAATTTTGGCCATCTTAACTTCTCCAAAGGACTAGAGACCTCAGACTCACCACCACTGCTCCTAGAAACACCTCATTGCTGAGCTCTAGGGTGACAGAAGATTTTGAACATGTTTACCCATGTATTTCAAAGATTGGTACATTCAGTCCCACCAAATGTCATGAGAGGCTTGAAAATCTTTGTCCTGAGGACCAAGTAATGTCCTAATATTTAATAAAACAAGGGGCCATTATGCTCCAGAAAAGGTTAGGAGAATGGAATTGCATATAATTTTAGATAGTAAAAGACAGAGAGAATGATCTGAATTACTTGGAAGCAAACGCTATGGTTTCATAATAGCCACAGTAAAATCGTACATTGCAACCAACGAAGACAGTCCCAGCTTGTGGGGAAGGGGATCAGTCTGGGGAATCAGAAACCAGGAAAATTACTTGGGATCACGATGAGTTCCCAAAGAAGAGTTAACAAAACCTCTGCATATAAACCAGAATAATTTCAGATAAGAGTAGGGAGATGAAGTCACCACTGCATCAGGTGCTAGTGTGATCACTAGCAAAACAGTAGGTCCAGTTCCGGTTTTCATAGTTTAGAAAGGAAATGGATAAATCGGAGGGGGTTATAGAAGTGTTGAAAGAATGATTCAAGGAAAGCTTGCTTTATATTGGTGGGCTCAAGGTCTCCCTATGGTTTAGCCTAACGAGAAGGTTCTTCCAAGAGGTGGCTTGATCAGTGTTGTTAAGAGAAATATTTGCAATAGCAAACTTCAGGCATATTATTTAGGTTCTTTTAAACACAACATGTAATGAGCAGAAGTTGAATCGAGACATATACAGATTAGAAATTATGTGTATATTTTAAGAGCAAGGAAATTAACCAGTAAAACAACTTATCACAAGTTGTGATTGAATTCCTACAAATGAAAATATTTTATTAAGAAGGAAGTTTTTCTAATTTATATCCTAATTTGAAAAACAATTAATTCAGAAAAAGCTCAACAGACTGCATTATACAAGAAAAAGGTTAGAAGGCTTTATAATCTTTGAATTGCTCTGGTTTCTTAACAAACCTTATTTGTCTTCCCCAGCAGGGTAAATTCACATTGCTGATGGCAGGAGGCAATTGTAATATGACTGGCTTGCTTGCCTTGCTTGTTTAACAGCTGCCTCACTAGTTGTTGCTTAAATAATAAACTACAGAAATGTATTATTAGAAAATTGGAAAACTTATAGTTGAGAATGTATTTTGTCCACTGCATTATATATAAAGACGTGAAACAGAGATCAAAGTTCTTTGCCTCATAAAGGTTTTTGATAATATAAAGAATTCCAGTGGTTGAATCAAAAGAAATTATCCAGAATTGGAGTATTCATTCGATAGAAACCAGTGTGATTCCACTAACAGCATATACCTCCTCATAAGGGGTGGATGAACAGTTCCAAGATGTCTGGAATAATATTAACACCTTAAAAGCCTTTTGTGTATACTTGGTTAGGTTTGAGTTCTGTTTTTGTTTCAGATGCCATCTTAAAAACAGAGCTCCAACTGCTTTAAAGAAACATTGAGGAGGCTGTTTGTTTTTTGAAGTGCAGAGGTTTAGTCAGTGTGATAGTCTGAAACAAAACCTCTCTGCTTTGAAGTTTTCTTACCTGTCTCTCCAGAGGCCTGTCTTCCTTGCCCAAACTGTTCAGGCATAACAGTCCAATCAACTATTTATCCAGAATTCACTAGTAAGAACATGTACAATAAAATGATTCTGAACTCAAGCTGAACTGTGCTACTGGTAACTCAGAGAAACTGCGTCTTTATCCAGTTCTGGATATTGTTCCATCAATGTAAAGGGGCTGCTAAGGAAAGGCTCAGTGCAGAGAACTCAACTCTAACAGAAGTAAGTACAATATAAATAAGTAAACTGCACAAGATTCATGGTGTAAATGGTGAGGCAGTTGCAGAGATGCTGCTCAGAATGCCTACAGTAACCCTGCTGCCATATGGAAGGTCACACAGGAATGGGGGGATGCTGGCTGGCAGCAAACATGAAAGTCAGTGTATTTCTGAGAAATTCATGAAGGCAATTCTAAACTGGATTCAGAGGTGATGAAGGAATTGGGGAAGGTGGCAGAGATGGGGAGGAATTATATGTTCTTCATAAACAGAATGAGATTAGAGCATGCTAACAACATGCCACATCTTTCCTGCTATATACCACGTGATTGTGGATAAGAAGCAACATATTATGCACATACATAAAAAGGGTTTTCCAGAAATGAGGTCAAATGCCTTGATCTCACTTTCACCAGAGAAAACCTGCAATAAATCAAGCAAATTCTTTGGTGGTGTTGTGAATTTACACAGCAGAAGTGACCCACTTATGATTATTTTACCAGTAAAAGTATGGCAAATGTTATAGCAATAAAATGCAAGTGAGAAGCTGCATATGTCTTCATTTGTCCTTAAAAAAAAAACCACCACATTTAAAAAGAAAGGGAAAAAAATGATGTATGAATTGTACTGTAGAGAATCATGAAAATGGTAGTTTTCCAGATGGATTTAAGTAAGGAAAAATAGTAAGTCATACTACATGGTAACAAAATACTGTGTGTGTATTGGGTGGGTTCAAGGTTCTTACCAAAATCAGCTCATCGTTAGCTAATTCTCGAGTCCAGTATGTTTTGGGGCCATCTCCCTCAATAAGAGTTTGTTTGCAATAGATCTTGTTTTCATTCTCCCAAGTGGCCAAACTCTGCAGGCAAGAAAACCATTAGGAATAACATTAATTATATTCCCCAGCAGCATGAGGCAGAGAGACAACAATGGGCAGTACTGAGAATCATTGTTGTAGTAAAGGACCAACACATAGACAGATAAAGGCAAACGGAAAAAGACATCAGCAGAAAGCACTGAAATCAAAATTAAGGTCTGAGGGGGCATTGTTGAAATAGGTATATATTGACAACCAAGTAATTGTAAACGTGTCTTTTCAGTGTAAATCTGCATTTGTTTCTAAATTAAAAAGACGCCTAGTTTTCATAAAATGGTTGATGTTGAAAAGTATAATTGAGAAACATGGAATAACGTAGTGTCTATATTCCCAAGCATCTTTGTACACATGTGGTTTGATCCGACGTGTTATTTATCACAACAGAGTCCCCTTAGTGTAAAATCATCAAGAATTGTATATATCATGTTGTGGTCATGAATAATGTTGTATTTGCCACTTACAACCTTTCATGCTATTTGGCATTGTGCCAAGTCAACTGTACATTAAACACTTAATGTGCTAACAAACTAGAATAAATCACAACTAAATTAAAGCAACTTTGTTAGAATTCTAGTACTTGCTATATTACTTTTTTAAGGTTGTGGGTCTGGAGATTCAAACACCCTTGGGCATTTTTCAAAGCATTTCAATAATAACTACGAAACCACTCAAAAATAAAAAAAAACCCACCATGGGATTTTGTTTAGCTTTCACAAGCGGGCAAGCCCGACTCTGTTGCTTTTCATTTTCGCACTGAACTATTATTCTACAGTGCAATGGAACAGCTGTGCAGAAGGGTGCCCTGTAACGAATGTGCGAGTAATCGCTTTGTAACTAGCGCACGGCAGACAGTCATTAGTCTGTGATTACATACATACACACGGACGTGGACATTTATGTATGCATAAATTCAAGTTAACACTTCCCAGACTTTCCAAGGGAAAAAAAAAACAACTTAGATTTAAAAATAGCTGCTTACTTTATAAATATTTTTTCAAAACAATAGGTGTTTTAAACCAACAAGCATCTCAACTGGCAGTTATAGAAGCTATGCCTTGCAGTATAACTACGTATGACTCCCTCTTTGTCTGTATGAACAATGGATCAAGTTAGTTGGCAGAACGAAACCCTCCACCTCATAAAGTGTACCAAAATCTATCATCAGTCAGCAATTTTGCCAGATATTGCAAATTACATTCCGAAGCATTATTTTATTATCTGTCAGTTTCTGCTCTGTGGCCACATCTTGGTTATATACACACAGCAGTACAACTTACTCCTGAGACTGGACTATAAATAATTTCACAACATATGGAAAAAATTTACTACTTCACAAAAAACATTTCTTTCGGATTTTACCAACTTTCATAGCTTCCAGCCGTAATTATTGTTTTTCCATCTGCAGCAATAAATCCTTCTCTAGAAAGCAGGTCACATTTATTGTACATGCATTATGCATGAAGACACTAAAATACTACCTTTGCCGAACAAGATAAATTAACAAAGCCAGCAACATCTCCTGAACAAACTGTTAAATATACAATAACTCATCCTAGAGACCAAGTGGATGTTCTAAATGTTCACTAACTCCCAGAATCTGCCTCCCTTTTCACAAATTTAAATTCACAAGCAATTGTACTGGAGCTAGTAATTTCTGAATTTTTAGTGGTGCAAATGGTCTCAGAAGCTGGCCCAAGAATTAGCAGAGATATTTCGGAAAGTAGATTATTTCACCGTCATAGGATACTTTTAAAACTGTATTCTCATTTGGGACTAGATTCAGATAGTCTCTATCCATACCTCCTTTATAAGAGTTTTATATATACTTCTCTTTTTAAGTGTGAGAGTAAAGTGCCTGAGGAAAGGATAAGGAATCCACGCCTTTGATAGCTTTTTTCAAAAGACAGCTATGATCACAGCCCAGCTCTCCAATAAGCCAGATCCCGTGCATCTACACCAGCAAGAAGCTGGCGTCAGATGCTGCCAACGTAAAGCCCTCTCCACGGCCATAGAAGTGGTTACAAAGTTAGAGGAGCAGGGGCTCACACACAGAATCAAGCCCAAAACACTCGAGTCAAACACCCTCCAATGCACTTCCGCACAAGGAGACGGTGTAACTATGGCTGGTATAACACTAGCTGAAAGTCTCTCTTACACTGATAAAGACTTACCTGATGAGCAAACCAGAGACATACATTTGCAAGGGAATGAAAGAGGATTTCAGCCCCAAACTACCAACAGCCTGTGGTCCTGCTTATGAACGCAGCTAATTCAGTTTAGGAGAAATGTGCTGTCAGGTTTGTGCAACAAATCCTGACTTTTGAGGTCTCTCTGGCTCCACTGTTGCCCATGTTCCCATCAAGGACAGAGGCTGGGGAGAGCTTTCACTGCAGCTGAGGTCTTCCGGGGAGAGGGAAGCAAAAAGAGCTGGACAAAACTCTGCCAGTCAAGAGTTTGAACTCTGCCTTTGGGACCTGCCATGCTCTGTTGCCTTCAGATTTCAGTTTTACCCTGCAAGAGGGAGAACGTTGGATGACGGACAAGAGGACCGGCAACCACCAAGAACCCCCAAAGAGTGCTTCTGGGAAGATGAGGATGGAGGGCAGCAATACCACTGTCTGGGGACACCGGCGGCAGATGTGTTTGTACCAACTAAAAAGAACCTGGTAACACACACACAAACACACTCACACACGCCCCCGCTCTCCTCCTACCCTGCACTTTCGTCCATCCACCGTCTCCTCCTCAAAGCTCTCCCCGATTTTGAAGTTGATCTCAGTGGTGCGGACAGTGGTGGAAGTTTTGATGTAGAACTGGTCCCCATCCTGGCGGATCTCCACGTGGGGTTTGGAGGCAGCAGCCACCGCCAC